GTTTTATTTCTTGAAGATCACCTGCCTATTTCCCTCTCAGTTCTTACTTAGCTGCTCCTTACAGCTCTCCCTGCATGTTTTTTCAATAAGCAGTCCTGCACACAAACAGGACCAGCAGTTATCATCACAAAGCAACAGACCTTACTGGCAATAACTAGCAAACCATGTAATCTTTCTCATATTTCGAACTTGTGTTTGTATTTCTTACTGAATAATGCATTCTTTACACCATGCTGCACCAAACAAGAACTGTCGATGAAGAGCACTAACCCAGATGAAATTCATTCTTTTTTATTAAAAAAAAATTATTCATTTTTATCTTTAACCAGTATTGTTGTTTTGATAGCAGTAAACATAAAAGTGAAGGATAACTTACTTAATTTCTCATTCAACAGCTAAGCAAGCCAAAGAAAACCAAGATGTTTTTTCAAAACAGAAAGGGAAAATAATAAATAAAAATAATCAAGATTGCCCTCTGAAGGGCTTTGAACTACAGCTTTGTAATTACACTCTCTACAGCAAAGGCTGGCAGAAGACAGTTTGTCATTCTGGCACTGCATCATATTTTCTGCCAAGTACTTCAAGTGTCAGTTGCTTGAACACAAGGTTTCATCACTACAACAACTGAAAAAAACCCAACCCTTCAAAAATGATGAAATAAGTTTTCAGGCAGCACAAAACACAACCACTAATCTGTGTCTTTTAAGAGACACATGACTCTTCGTGTTTCCTCCCTGCAGCACTACTTCCCTGTGACTGAGTCCAGTCTAACAAGCCAGGTGGAACACTAGTAAGGTTGTGATGTGCTCAGTTCTGTGCTTCAACTTTGAGGCTGCTCTAGGCTGAAAAAACTGCATTCAGAACTGCACATGCACACAAAATACACTACCGGACCTCCAGTAGAAGGTTAAAAAAAATAGTAATTTAAAAATCAATGGTCAAAATCTATTGGAAGTTTTTTTTTTTTTCCCCACACACATAGACATAAATAGCCCATTCTACTGGCTGATTATGCAATGATTTACATCTGTAATGACTCGGATTTCTCTCATCATACAAACTCTCATCCAAGAAACACTGCCAAATTCTAGTACTCTCAGCTGGTTGCCATCATTTCTCCCCAACCCCAAGTCATCTCAGTTGTCAACCCTGAAAAAAAGGTACTGCAGCATTACAGTGAATTCACTCTGCAGTGACAATAATTGTTAGAAAGCCTGGCAAACCACATGCAAATTCACCAGAACACCAAAGTTACTACAAACACTTCTTTTCACTTTCCTACCCATCCCTACTTCTAGACGGCCATGTCTTGCACACAGTTTGGCTACAAGATCTTAAGATCTCCCTGTAAATCACATGAGATTCAAATAATGAATAGGGGAAAAAAAAAAAAAAAAAAAAAAGGATAATTTAGCCAAACACAAAATTATAGCAAGCATTCAGCTATTAGTTAACTCTGAAAACAAACATTTTAAAGCAGCAGCTCATCAGTTAAGCAGGAATCTCTGCTGTGGCGCACTCTTCATTCCCCCACACCACTCGCTGGTCTCCTTGCAGGACAGGCTCCCCTTGAGCTGTGAAGCATAAATGAAATGGAAATTTCCACTAACAAGTTCCCCAGCTTTTGCATTTTTGCATAATACAGATAGTGCTGCACAACACAGATAAGTGACTGTTTTTTCATCTTACTGTAACAAATCTGCCTCTTTCCAACACACCCAAGCAAGGTTCTTTTCTGGCCTCATCATCTCCATGTTTCTTTCACGTTTACCTCAGGCAAATGTGAAAATGGTTGGGAAGTCTCTTATTAGGATCAAAACAAAGCTCCTTTCCCCAAATGGCTAAAAATATGTATTAAAATAGTAAGTTTGCATATCTGTTAGATGCTAGTATACACTGATCCACATTTTCATTCCAATCAGGGATAGTGGACATCAGACAAGTTCCATAGCACATTAGAAGAAGACTAATTTTAATGAAGTACTGAAGGAGACAATCCTGTGTTGGACAATAGCAGTTTATCGCCTGGTACTTTCTAATATGTAGGATCATTTAAAAACAAATTGTTTCAAATGGTTCCTAGGAAGTCTGTGCAAGCGCTGTGTTTAAAGAAAGACTTCTTCCTAAAATCTACTAAATGCTTACAGGCACTGTAACCACCTCTTCTTCTCACACAGCTTCTAAAAGCAAAATTTGAGACTTTTCACAAGGAAAACATCCATTATATTCATGCATACTTTTTAAAAGCATGTACATTAATGAATTTATACATAAGCAGGAGTGATTTCCGCCTAAAGCATTCAGGAATGTGAAAGTTGTTCAGAAAGCAACTCCTGTGATAACTGTGTCATTTACAGAGGCTGCAAAGTTATCAAAATAACCATCAAAACACAGGAGAGTACTAAATACTGAAAGAGGCAAATAATCTATGAATATACATCTAAATTGTAAAGAATAAAATGCCAGAATAAGCTAAAAAAACATTCAGCCACAACTCTACATTCTTAAATTTCCTAGCTTTGCTAAAATAATATCCCATAGGTGTTTTATCAGCAGCCTTTGAACTCCCACTCTGTACATGCAACAGCAGACAACAGCTATCTGAATAATGGAGATAACTCCCACACTCCTCTCAGAGTAACGGTCCCATGATTGTTAAAATCAGCAAGCAATACCAGAAGGAAGGATGGTCTCATCAGTTAATGGAAGTCAGAAGCTTTCAGTTCTCTTTTCACTTGTTAGACATCTCTGGTATAATGATGGAATAAGCATTTCATCTTCAGTACATAACTAAAAGAATGAGACTTGCCAGATCATGACAATTTACTTCTACCTCTGTTGTTCTCACAATATAACCTAAAGCAAAATCATTTGCAGTGTATTCCATTTGCCCTTCAGGTTGAACTCCAACCATGTCATGTTGCTCCATGCTGCTTAGATAGAGGGTTCAGAGTATGACCACTGCCCTAAAAATCAAGCTACTTAACTTTAAAACAAAACTAAAAAAACCCAAAACAAAACAAACAAACAAAAACACACACACACAAAAAACGACTGAAAAACAAACAAACAAACAAACAAACACCACAAAAACAAAAACCAAACCACCAAACCAAAACCAACCAACAAAAAAAACCCACACCACAACTGGTTGGATTTTTAAGTCCTCTCTTCTCTAAAGACCTCTAACAGAGTGCTATGCAGAGACAAGTAACAATGCACTCAAAGCGGCAATTCTTGTCACTCAAGTACTGTAAGAAGTCAGAGTGGCTGAAAGGACCTACCAGTTACACACTAATATCTACTGCATCATTTTGGGGGAAAGGAATAAAGCTGCATTTAGGCTTCTGTACTAATATGTTCAACATATTGTCAAAGTGTTCTGATAGGCAGTAAAAGTGTGCCACAGGGCTCAACAACAGAACAAAAGGAACAGACATAGAGAACTAAGGGTATGCGAAGTCATTAAACTGACTCTTCCAGAGATAGAACTTCAGCTCAGTCATGGGCACCATGCATACCACACTCTAGTCTCCTGATAAAAGGTCTGGGTCAAACTTACTTTGAATATAAGCTAGATCTAGTACTCACTGTGAAACCGCTCACATTACACCAGCAAAACCATCACGTATTTTATGTGACACTGATGTACTTACACACAGTTGTTACCATGCTCTTGTACATCCTACTAGCATGTACAGAACTGTGTGGTATAAAAACATAGTTTTCAATTGCCATTATCAGCAGTCAGGTTGTTGTGATGCTCATTAAACCAGCAAGTTGGCAATAGAAACAGAAACTACCTTCTCCCCACAGCCACTGCTTTTCATCTTGACACAAAGATAAGTGTTAACAATACTGGCAAAATGGAGACAAAAGGAGCAAAGGCAAGACAACTCAGTAACACTGCAGTGGTTCCACTGGTTTTATTTTGAAAGCTACCCGTTACCTACAGTTACCAGTCACAGTTCTCAGTCCATCTAATCTAGCTACCAAGTACACTTAAGGAAGAGTTTCTCAATAGATCATGTATCCCTAGGGTACAAAGGATCTTCTAATTGCACATTCCAGTCACATTTTAGACAAGTCATTTAGGCTTATAAGCAGTTACTGCAAACGTGCAAATTGCAACATTAACAAATTCCATTAAAAACAAATTACAAAAAAAAAAAAATCACACAGAAGCCTAAAAACCTCTGGGACTAGTCTCCCAACAGTACTTACAAAATTACTGTTATAAAATAAAACAGAACATAGGCACCTCTGTATCTGTACTTTCCAAAGAAGTTGATACAAATATTGTCCTTAAAGCTGACAGTTCTTCTGCTAGAGTGACTTAACTTGCTGATTTTGTGACCTGTGTTTACACAACCCAATCTGAAAGTTTAATTCATAATACAGCAATGAAATAGAGACTTGTACAAAAGGAATGTGCACTGCCAGCAGTTCTCTTCCTAAAACTCCTCCTATTTGAGAACACATTAAGCACTGCCAGTCAATGCTTAATAGTTATGTATGTAAGCAATTCAAAACACCTGATTTTCACAGAAAGCACGTAATTTTTTATACTACTACCCAATGATTGTATTAATCTGTATAAGAAAATATATGTAGTATGACTGACCTAATATAAAAAAAACAGCTTAAGAGAGAACAACAGGCTACCATAAAAATAACATCTGTCAAAGTCAAATAACTACAGGCTGCATTTTTATCCACTCTATCCACAAACAGTAATTGCTGGCATTGGCAGGAAGTTTTTCCTTCCAAAGAGAACCTACCAGAGTTTAGTTCTATTTCATGTAGTTTAATCTTTCTATATTTTAAAGCACATTCTACTGTTAGTATTCAAAATAAATATAAGTAAAATATATATTTTACTCAGCATAAAGAACACTCACTGACAATCTTAAACAACAGTGGAAAGTAAAGTTCAAAGACCAAACGTAAAAACAGATTTGCAGCTATTTTTAAAAGAGGGAGGATTTCTGTGAACTTACTGTAAGATTCCAGTTGATCTGCGGTATTCTTGTGTGAAGATTTAGACTGAACATAAGCAACAGAACTCCAGTAACCACCAATCCGCTACAGCTCACAAACTCGAAGAAATAAAGGCCTTCGCAAGGGGAGCATTCCATGATGGTCTCTATGCAGATGAATGCAATCAGTGCCAAAACCTAGGAAGAAAAACAAGTGGAAAAAAATATAAATAGATTTCCACATTTTGAAAGTAGCCACAAGTATTCCTGAAATTTCAATTGGGAACATGATCAGTTTACACTCAGGAATGTGTGATTTTAGTTTATAAGAGGGCACTGTCTAAAGAGCAAAAACAAAAGCAAATGAATGCAAGACCTTCTGGATATCTCCCATTCAACAAAGTATATTTTAGCAAAATTACAAGGAGTCTAACAGCAATATGACTGAGACACTCAGAAAGGCATGCAATTCCTTCAGGAATATGTAAATGGAACCTCAAACATTTTATTTCATTTTTCACTCATGATATGCTATTCCAAACCTTGAAGATGGAATGCATTTGTCTAGTGGGCCAATCTCAAGCTCAATTAAATAGTATTAATATAGTGTGATTGTGAAAGACATTTCAATAAAGCTATTTAAAATTCACTACGGACTGGAGATCTAAATCAATTCAAAACAGAATAGATTCAGGAACTCTACCAACCTCCAAAAAATAGTAGAACCACAGAATAGTTTGGGTTGGAAGGGACCTTAAAGATCACCTAGTTCCAACCCCCAGCCATGGGCAGGGCCCCCTTCCCCCAGCCCAGGGGGCTCCCAGCCCCGTCCAACCTGGCCTTGAGCCCTTCCAGGGAGGGGGCAGCCACAGCTGCTCTGGGCACCCTGGGCCAGCGCCTCACCACACTCACAGGGAAGAATTTCTTTCTTGCATCTAATCTAAAGCCACCCTCTTTCAGTTTAACACTGTTACCCCTTGTCCTATCACTATATGTCTTTGTAATGATATGCCTGCTTTTTCCACTGTTTTAATCAATGTTCTACTTTATATAAAAATGTATTTTATCATTCCCTTATAGGACAATGAAATGAGCAGCTAATAGTTGAAGGTAAAGCTACTGGTGCTTCAAACACATGCGTCAAAGTGGGATAATGCTTAGTCACACTAAAATCAGAAGGTTTCTTGCTAGAGTTAACAAACGCAGACTTTTGCAAGACGAGAGTTTAATTTACTATTTAGGATGAAACAGCAGAACTCACTATACTTAAAATAACCTGTTTAATGGACAAAATAAACAAATATAAAACCCATACACCAATATTAGCTACCACTTAGATATCATTAGATACCACTGAGTAGCTACCACAGAGTATACAACTTACATATATAAGTCTGTGTTTCAAAGCGATTCCTCTTTAAACAACTGGTAAAAGAGACGATTGCATGGATGATTTTGTTTTGTTCATTTGTTGTTGGTTTTTTTGGGTTTTTTTTTGTTTTTTTTTCCACAACAAGCAAGGAAGGCCTTAAGAGTGTTTTGTATTCTGCTTCAGTTTTCAAGACAACCCCCACACCCACCCACGTACATTTTTCAAAAAGAATTCTATTTTTTGCTCTGCCACAAAATTCTAATGAGACCGTAATAAGTCACTTCAACCTGAAGATGAAGAACTCTGGGAGATAGCCTCCTTGGAGCTAAATATTCCGTAATTTGAAGGTTTTACACAAACAAAACCTAAGTTAAAAAGACTGACAGAAGCCACAACACAAATCAAATTCTGCTAAATCCTTCTTCATCAGTTCCAATGATGTTTTGCAGATACCCTTTCTTCCAGCACTTTTAATGCTTCATCCATTAGTCTGTCTCCTACAATAAAACTAGCAAAATCAAGAAAAAGGATTTTGAAAGACATTACCATTTTTATCACTAACATCAGCAGTACTTTTAAGTAAAGGACAATACCCTGCATGCTTCATTTGCCACATACTTCAGAATACAGTAGCTAATTTAAGTTTAAAAAATGGATTAAACCAAAGCAAAACAGTTTTAATAAAAAAACCCTCACGCTTTGGTAGAAAGTCTCTCACAGTTCACTTAGCATGCACACTCTCTTTAAGAGAGCACATGCCATACGAATTTTTGCTAGCTAACAGAGCAGGCCAATTGACATCAAAAATTCTGAATGGATACCCAGTGACTAATCACTTAACTTCAGATTTTAGCTCTGACATTGAAGAGCTTTGGAAAAAAAGAACAAGAGAATATGCAGTGAAATGAAACATTCAGAAGATCGGATTCAGTGAAACTATGATTTCAGCAATGACACACACAAAAAAATACTGTCCAGAACACAGCTTCATTTTACAGTATTAGCATGTAATGAAATCCACCTTTTCTGTCAACACAAGCCTCATAAGTGAAGATGACACTGAATACAATTTTAAAAAGTAAAGCTCTAAAAAAAATAATCTTAGCTATTTCAAGCAGGATCACTATCAACGCTAAATGTTAGCTGGCAAAACTTTAACTTTTAGATGTTCCAATATAATAAAGTCTCCACTGTTCTTCCCAGTGTTCTTCACATATTACGACACTTTTAAATTTTTTAGAAGCATTAGAAGTAAATTATGTACTGAACTAGCACTTGGAGCAATGAACTCTAATCATCACATGTTACTTCTATACTCCCAAGATCAGAATTAATAATTAATAAATTTCAGAGCAATTCTACATTAAGACTTCATTTTATCCCTTAAGAAATGATAAAATGCATTTACTTGTGACACACTCTTATAAGAAAAAAGTGCTAGTTGTGCACACGGCAGTCTGACTTAAACCATTTCAAATGTAAGTAAAGATGTGCCATCAGTTTACATGTAGCAACATCGGTGTACAGTGGCCTCGGTTGTGGCAGCCCAAGTCTATTGATATGTTTATCAGAGAAGCTGGGAGAAAACCTCAATTGCTTCAGTTTATGATGGAGATTCTGGCCCCAAAGCAGAGGCTGTGTTTTGGAAACATGCACAATAACTGACTATGAACAGGAGTATTATCATCACTAAGTGGATTGGGATACCTAAACGCCTGTTGGTTGGGGGGACAGGGAAAGGAGAACATTCCCATGTATACAAGTTATTTGTAACATTTTTGTACTTCAAGTAAAATCCAAACTACATGTGTTCCTACTTTTCTTGCAGTAAAAATATATTTCACCCTTCTCAAAGATTAACCATCCTGCCAGTGCTACAGATAATACATTCCTGTTAACTGCCCACTGTCTCACAATGAATGCTATAACAAAAAATGAAATCCAAATTAATCACCGCATCAGAAAAAAAAAGCTATCCTCCCACAGAAACTTCCCTTTTTGTAAACACAATAAACATTTCAGTCTTTAATAAGAAATATTTTCTCTTTGAAACATCAGGGTAAATCTTGTCCTCCTACACATTTATAAACTTGCCAGAAGCGTCCTTCCAATTAACTATAATATGAATCTTCTATAAAAACACACCAGTGTTGCTTTCACTGGCCATTCCACTCAAGAAATTAATCTAATTTTGTTTCTAATAAAAAAGCAAACTACTCTGAACACATTAAATTAAAATTAAATGCATTACAGAATCAAACCCATGACTTAGCTACATTACTTAAGTGTTGTACAGTACAAATGGTGCAACACAAGCTAAAGCAGCTTGCCAAAGGCCATGGTTCATCCAGTGATCAAGTTCATTTAAAAAAAAAAAAAACAAGTGTTAACACTGAGAAAAATGCTTCATTTTCTCTGCATTTTTCAAATGATGAAATAAATAATTTATGAGATGGGCTATATAAACTGCATAATGAGTTAATACAGTTTTGCCACCCAGAATACCACTTGCCTGACATGGCCATGAAGTAGACTGATGGGATCATATGTGTGTCCCCAGAGTGTCCCACTGCAAACTGCTGACTTTTGGTCTGTCTGTCTTAGTGTTAGCTACCCCAGCTTATTTTCTGAGGAACTTCAGTGCAGGTTTAGCACTAACCGTTTTCTCCTGTTCTCTCTCAGAGCTCTGTAACTATAATGAAAACATCTTTCTAACCTATGTTTACCTCCATTGTCTGTGTACCACCCATCAGTGGCGACTGAATTAGCTAATCTACGTGCAGCTCACCGTTTACCAAGGCTCAAAGACCTAAAATGTCACTTCTCCAGAACTTCCTACACTCTTCCCTCTGCCACACCACATATCCAAGATAAAAAGGGCGCCTTGCCTTATCATGTTGACTCTACATACTGTCTTTGGAAGAGGGAGGAAGGACAAAGACCCTCCAGCCCTCCTGGGAAGACTCCATGCTCCATCCAGACACCATCAGAGGGCACAGACACTCGTGCTGTCCCAGGTGACTGAGGCACAAAGCTGCAGCAGAGAAAAACACTCACTCACCAGCTACTAAAGCTTTGCTCTTTGTAACACAAGTCACCAATGCTACTGCAGAAAACCAGGAGACAGGATCTATCCAGGCCTGCATCTGCCTCCCATGACTGCACTTACAGGACTAGCTAAAACAAAAAAACACAAAAGAAACAAACAAAAAACCCTAGCATAGAATCAGCCAACGAAATCCAAACTGCTATTTGTCCAACACAGGAGGTGGCCCTCATTTTTGAGTCACACCAGTTTAGGGTAATGAGTTTCGGCAAGTTTTTCCACAAGCAGAAGTTTCAAGGTTAGTTTACTGAGGAAAAATGAGAGGTTGAACATGGTGGAGATCTCCCCTTACATGAATTACTGATCTCTCTCACAAATGACACAGCTACAGCTTTCTTGGGCAGAGTCAATACAGTTTCCTCTGATGGATGAAACAAACCTTTTCATCTGTTTTTCTCTGCACTGAGTACTTCAGAGAGTCTCCTATTCCACCCTAATTCCTCCAATGCCCTAAGATTTGTGCAACTCTTCCTCATAATTTATAACAGTTGCTTTAGGTTTACCTTCTACTGGCCCTCTTCTTGAAGTATAGTGGATATTGTGTTGACAGGCAACTTTATCACGATGGAAACATCTGCTTATTCTATTGGATGCTCAGGTCAGTGGCATCCTAAGCTACCTGCAATACCACCTTTTTTCTTGAGGAAAAAAAAAGGAGATGCAAGAGTCTGGTCAACAAAGCAGTATCAACAAGAATGAGCTTCAGGGTAAACTGAGAAA